TATTATATTATATTATGCTCGCGCGGCACTGGGTCACTGTTATCATGTTTCCTGGACCCGTTAGCGCAATTTTTCGATGCTGTTTGACAAATTTTATTCGAATTAGGTGACCTCTATATATTATACATACATTAATAGTGTAAAATATTGTTTTTAAATAATTTATGAAGTGAGACATCGCCGATATATTAGATTATTGAGAATGAACGAAGGGAGCGAGAGAGAAAAGAGAATGAGAGAAGAGCACAGTTTTGTTCCCCGCACCTTAGGAAAAATGATTTAAAACATACAAGTAAAATGAGCAAGCGGACGAAGCGAAAATATATGAGGAAAAAAAATAAAAAGACAAGAGTAAAGAATACAGGGCGCGTCTGAATGGAAGCCGATGGTGGCTAGTTGCGTCAGTCGCATAGTACAAATATAACTTGTACATAGCAACCCCTAATCCTCTCCCCCTTATAAAGTTATTGGTTAATTTACTCACACACCACACTCACACTGTATCTATAGTATTTATTATCTGGGTAGAACATCATTATTGGGATTATTATTATTATTAATTATTATTACTATTATTATATTAATATTACGAAATACAGTTTTATGTGTATATATAATTATATACCTCATTTCGTATGAAACGCATATTTGACAGTGTCGATGTTGCAAGCATAGTGGAAACGCCATGGCGTTTTCATATCTCTGTGAACATTCCGTTGAATTCGATCGTTGTTTCTGATATCCCTGCTTGAAAATCTCGCAAGAAAAGTGCGTCCTCAGTGTACGAAAAATAACAAATTTATAAATGAAATTATTAGGTAATATCTTTTCTTTTTGTCTTTTTCTTTTTGTAGGGAATTTTACTTACAACTGTCCCAATGTCTTGAAATCAATGATACCAAGTATATGTTATTTATTTTTTCAGGAGATTAACGTTTGGAAAATGCAAATGTTTAAGTGCTGTTTCGTTTTTATTCTGAGAAAAAAGTATTTTACAAGATTATTATCAATAACTTAAAAATTATTTTACTATGTACACAATAAGTATTACTACATTCCTTACTTTGCACATTCATAGATAAGATAATCTTACAAGTCACTCGCCGATAAAATAATAGGATGCAATAGCATTTCTGATATGCTTGTAACATGTATATCAGTGTACCCTACTTTACTCTCGTGTAGTGAAATTATAAACTTCTCATCATTACGTATAGGTATGTATAAATAATATACAGGGTTTTCATCTACATGTGGAACAAATTTTAAAACATGATTCTATATCTCAAAATCGAACGAAAATCAGAACTAATGAAATTGAGATTTTGGCTTCAAGTTCGTTTTTAAACTATTAACAATTCAAAATATTTCCGCAGCTATAATGATCTGCCAATAGCACCACGTGTAAATCAGGTCCGGAGAAACGCAGTCAGTAACGTACCATGCGAAACACAGACATTTACTTCAAAATTGTTATCTACGACTCCAGTAACTTTAATACTTATTATACGATATATTTAATATCCATCTTATTAAACTTTTAACTGAGGAGGATGAATATTTATTTGATAACATTTTTTTTCCTCGAGTACTATCAGTCATCGATTCGCCTACATCGTAAATGCAGATATGTATTACACACTGCAAATATTCTACTTATATGTGTCCCTAATATATAGCGATTACGCAGTTATGACAAAATTTCTGTGTATTTCTATATCAAATACAAATAGAATTATTATTCATTTTCCAAGTATACTTAATTTAAAGAATATGAGTTACAATATATAGAGAAATGAAATTTATGTATCTAAAATCAACAAGGTCAATCGATTATATGAGATTAAAAGCAAACTGTGATCTTGTCCAAAATGATTCAGAAAAACAAACGTTGATCATGGTTTCTTATTTTCTTAAGCAGAAATGCACAGTACGCAACGTATGATATTATTGAATTAAACATAATATTCTAGTAATTTAATATTTACAGTTAAGTATATGAATTAAACAATAAAATAAGACGTAGCTAAATCATTTTCGTTTAAAAAAGTTTGTCTAAAATTCTGTGATTTATTGAAGTACGATTGCAACTTATTTCGTCACTGACAACATTTTATTCGTGCACTTCTGCATTAAATGCTTATCGTAAATTTGTCATTGATCTCTGCCTCATCCTTCTTGTAACACCTTTCAGTTTTTTCTCAGTTTGACAACTGTTTCGACAAAACTATAATTATTAAATCATAATTCACGGGGAATATTTGTATCCCGAAAAATCTACATCATTTTCATTTGCTTATAGTTTGTAATTATAATTTTTGTTTAGTTTTTAATTTGTAAAGATATATCTTGTGTGCCACGCAAAGTATTCTGATGAACAAGAAATAATCAATGATGAACACTTTTTATCAGGACAATCCTAGCACATAATAAGTACTGATATTTCAGTTGATAAATAAATTTAATGTTGTGCAATGGGTTCCAAATGAGTTTTCTTTTTTCAAAAAAGTGACCACAACTTTCGATCAAGTATCTAATTTACACATGATGCTTATTACTATTCCTTCTCTTATTCACCTGACCCATAGATCATTATTGGTGAATTTTAATCGTTAATTATTTGAAAAGTAAGTCGAAATCGCAATTTTATTATTTTTGATTTTCATCTTATTTTGACTTGTACAATCACTTCTTAAAATATTTACTAAGAGTAGTTAAATACCCTGTATATAGAGTGAATCGGTTGGCTTAACCACTTTACATTGAAACAGTTTATTATATTCAAGACTGTTTGAAACAAAAATTGTACAATATCAGAAGGTTATATAGTATAATAATTACATTTTTATTAATTAATTTTTTCATGAAAATATAAGATTCACTCTAGGTTATTGAACTTAAAAGAATATTAAATTCTCCTGAAAAAGAATCATGGAGGTTTATGCTTTTAAAAACACATGATAATTATCAAGGTATTTTTTAAATGATTTGAATCTGAAGCGATGTTCGCCAACATGCACTATAAATAAGATTTATATGGTCACTTTTCACTATTATTATTTTTACACTGTTACAAATACTTATCACATTCATTAATTTTCAATTTGCATTTACGTTTGAAAATTATTCAGCCAAGTGTTGTACACATTTTTTGTCCACACAGACTTCATTATATCGTAATTTTTTTTAAGAATGTCTTAATAATTTTTTATTTTAAATGCTTATCTACAAAATTCTAATTATACTACATATCCTTCCTGATATCATACAACTTTTGTTTAAAACATTTTTTTATACAACAAGCAATCAAGACTTTTAAGTGGTTAAATTAGATGATTCACTTTCTGTGTATATATATTATATATATTATATAATATGTAATAATATTATATATCACACATGTTATCTTTCAGTGAACATATTCATGGTTAAATTCGTTGGCCTGAATGGACTAGCGTTGTATACATAAAAACAAGGACATAAAATAGTTGTTGGTGCTTATACTTGGTAATGAGGTCGAGTACAGATGAATTTCGCTGAGATTCAAGATTTTAAAACTGATACTCACTGATCGCTATTTTCAGTGTTTCAATTAAAACAATAAAAAGACTAGTGTTCAGTTGATACAGTAATCGACTGCGCTTCAGTAAGTTTATCCGCAGCATGCGTAATGCCATACGGCCTTAAATGATAAATTAAGTACTCGAGAACATACATCATATTAGGTGACACGTAATGAAATGATATTGCACTATCAGAGCAACAATTGAGACCGTCTTTCGTGTCATAATAAATGTACTTCCAATACCAAAAATTTTTATCCACATGGTTGGGTATCAAATGATGTTCTGGCACAAACGGAAAGAATCTACCGCGGCCATGTGGATCCCGAGTATCCATGGCTTTAACACCGACGTTTTCTAGGCACTTTCCCATTTCCACATCTTCGGCACCTCCATTATCTCCGCGACACTTAGTTTTATCAGTTAAACCATTCTCCACAAATTTCCGTAAAGCCTCTTTACTAAGTACATATCCGGCGCCACCACTCATGTAACCTTGTTTGACATATGGTTTAAATCGACAGCCAAAATACAGCGGCGAACTTGGATTATAAGATGATAACATGTACCGTAGATTTTCTACTATCACATATCTGTAAGTGTTAACAATAATTAAATCACTTTAAATTCAAGTAATTCAATCCATACAATAGAAGCACAATTATATTAGATTGAGCTTCACTTTTTTTATCACTTTCAAATATCAAAGTACAGCTGATAAGAAAATTATAGTGAAAAATATACTAACGTATCATCATCAGCTTTCATAAACCAATCAACTTCGTCTTTGTACTTTTCATAAGCATATTTAAATGCTTCTTTGGTTTTTGCCCATAGGTTTTCCCTACCTTCTTTTACTGGCAAAACAACTGTAGGTAACTTAGTATCTAAATAAAAAAAAAAGTTTTAATGTTTTAAATTTATTTTTTTCTGTTTTTGTTTTGATTTAATATTCAATTAAATAATTTACCTTCCACAGAACTCATAAATAAAAGAATATTACATCGTTTGCCCCATGTTGCTTTTACATGTTGCGCTTTACTTTGATGATTATTTGGGCCTGTCATGATCCAACAAAGAACACGTACTTTTTTTGCAAGATCTTGTGCAACTTTGTCTTCACCTCTGTGAAAATCTTCATCTTCACCATGAAACTTTACTTCTGTTTCAGGTCCAACCTGTTACATGTACATGTAAAATATTATAAATAAAATGGGAAAAACTTTTAGTGAAAGTATAAATTATATCTAATATATTCACTTCTAATTCCAATTCTGAATAATGATGGGGATCTCTAGAATGAGTTGATCTACCAGAAAACCAGTTAAACACATATGGCACATTTCTGGTAGTTGCTATTAAAAAGCATGCAGAAAGAAATCCAAAAATCACACCCGCAACAAGAGTTGCAACGAAATGTTTACCACTTCTTACACCTGTAAAAGAAGACATGAATTATTTAATTGTATACAGCTGTACTATATGTTTTTGCTAAAATGGAGATGTGTGTTTGTGTTAGCTTGGGTCAACAAATTTTCAGGCCATATGGCAAAGGCATATTTTTCATGTTGAAATTTGAGAAAAAGAATGAATGAAAATCTGCTTCCATTTAAGAATAAAAACATCTTAATGTTAATTATATAATTTTGTGACAAATTAACTTCTTCATGAAACAAATATATCCTTGAATAAAATTCTTGCAGATAAAATATTTGCAACTGTAAGAAAAAATAAGATTAAATCAAAGTATTTTATCAACTTATGATATATAATCAATAATAAATGTAATACAAAAGATTCTTATATATCATATTTTTCCAATCATATACAAATTGGATCAATAAGAATTACCACTTAAAATAATTTATTACCTACTGGTTGAAGCAAACAAAATTTTCTGAAATATGAAGGTGATATTGAGATTTTTAAATGACACTGCATATTTCTATTCATACTCTGTTATGGCTACTGAAATGACAAATTCAACAAACCTAAAATTAAGCAGCCTCAAGACGGAATAAAAATTTTGAAAGCCAGTCATGGACTCTTGAGTACATCGAGCTCTTTATTCTTTTCAAGATTGACTCAAATTACTATATTGCTGGAGTTGAATAAGTTCCAAAAATTAGTGTTTCAAACCGTTATTATTAGTTTCCACTGAAACAGTTATGAAGAACCAAAATAAGTCACAATTGTTATTCGGTATATCGGTTTTGAGCTATATCACTTTCAGTTCTTCACAACTACTTCAAGAACCAAAACCAATATCATAACTGTTTTCAGACCCTGCTATATTGACATTCAGAACTTGTGTTATTTTATTCTTAATCATGCTTGAGATAATATTATTTTCTTTTCTACAATTATAAAAAGCTATTTGCTCAACCACTACATTACCTTAGATGGAAAGTTTCAAAATTGCATTCAGAAATTGAAGATTAATTAAAATTCATCTATTTATATGGCTCTGAATACATCGTTTTAATTGTTATAATAGAGTACCAATAGAAATATACAATGAAAGACTCAAAGCCATTTTAATATCTCAAAAAATATAAGATATTCAAAAATCAAAACATATTTAATCAGCCTTCTTCAATCCAATAAATTTCATTTCAAATGTTTCAGGTGACAATTCTTATCAATTATCATTCTATATATTTAATACACTCTGCATATATCCATAATTGAAAATATATTTAAGTATTAACATACCATTAATGTTTGGAAGCCTTTGTCGAACCATGATACATGATAAAAATATGTAATTTCAATTAAGCAAAGGATAAGTATTATAATCAATTCATTTAGATTACTGCATTGTTCATAACATCAATGAAACAAAAATAATTTATCATTTAGTTTTAAATATATCTATAAAATACTTGAAAATTTTTGTAGATATAAATACAAATCCAAAATTGATTTGACCATTCCAAAAATGTATTTTTTGAAAATAGACATGCCTTTTTCAATTATTTTTACTATCAGGTAAAAAGCAGTAATTTATAGAAGAATGTTTATGTATCTTCATTCTGTGTACCTGAAAAATAACCAAATATTATTTTAATGCACTAACTGCCAAAACACAATTTATAAAAATCCACAGAGTTAAAGTAATTCATGTAAGTAATATATATACTGAAAAATTATACTTTATTACACTGATTGCTGTTTAGGTCTTCTCATATTCTAAATTTAAATATTACTGACACAAAAATTGATAGCACAAACAGGAAACATTTTTCTACCCTGATAAGACAGAAAGGTATATGCAATACATTCAAATTCTATTGCATGAAAGAAATATAATATTCAAAATTATATTTTACTTCCATACGTAAAAATATTAAATTATTGTTTAATTATTTTTGTCGTAAACTTTTGATTATAATTATCACGGAGAAATAATTTAAATTCTAAATACTACCATCGTAACACTTACTTATTTTAAAGTAATGTCCAAAGTAATATTGCTTGTTCTATGTTTAAAATGATTTTTCGGTATTCTCCGTCGAAGAGCACTTTGTTAAACAATGGGTTTAGACATGTGTTTCTTTGCTTTATAACACCTGCGGTCCAATTCTACCTAATAAATGACGTCAAACGCGAACTTAAATACATACCTTGCAAAGCAAATATTGCGTACACTGCAAAACAATAATGAGTTAATGATAACGATCGCAGGATAAAATGGTCTTTGGGAAACTAAATCATATGTACGAACAAACGAAAATGTATTTTACAAATCATTCTTCATTAAGAACACATTAAATCTCTAAGAAGATACATATTTTATTGAATAAATTCACACACGAAGATATAAATTTTAAGTAATCGTAAAAACATCGTGTTTATTTAAGTTTTTCATCATAATACATTGTCTGCAGTTTCCATACAACTTCTATGGCTTAATCATTGCATATAACTTGCATAGTAGTGTCCCCATATGTATTTCACACTATTCATTAAATTTTTTATTATGCAACATTTCTTTTACGATTAGTGCATTTTCACTTATTGAAAATTTTTAATTGGACAATATATCAGTTGAATTGAACGTTGTCTATAGAACATATTTGACACTTAGTAACCTGCATTCCGTCAGTTTAAAACAGTTCGCCTTTTTTCCAATGTGATGTAATGAAATAATATGTTTTGAAGTTTTCACAGAGTATTTAAAGCGTGAAGTTATTTTGAAGTTATTAAAGCAACAACGATTTGAACAAAAATCAAGTTACCTAATGTTAACTCTGTGTATAGAAAAATACTTATCTTCGATATAACATCAATAAAAGTACTTGCAATGACAGCTTATTATTATTTTGTAATTGTTGGTCATGCCGATAATCCTTTATTTGAAATTGAATTTAACAATTCTGGAAAGGATGCAAAGGTTTGATATAGGTTATTTTTAATTAGATTACAAACATATTTAATTCTTTATACAATTATGGTTTCGTAAGAATAACTGTAGTTTTACTTAGATAGTATAACATAATTTCATATAATTCATTTATTTACATGCGTTTTCTATTTATATTTTGTTCAGTGTATACTAATTGTATTTATTTTTATTTTCAATAGAAAGAAGATTACTCACATTTAAATCAATTCATTGCACATTCTGCATTAGATCTCATAGACGAGCATACCTGGAAAACGCCGAATATGCATCTAAAAATTGTAGATAAATTCAACCAATGGTTTGTGAGTGCCTTCGTTACTGCAACACACATTAGATTCATTATGGTACATGATAGCAAAAATGAAGATGGCATAAAGAATTTCTTCAATGAAATGTATGAGACATATATAAAAGTAAGGAAACGCATTAAAAATTTATTATAGTATAAGATATTTGCATTAAAGCCATTATAATAATTTATACATTCCCTATGAGAATCGTTAATCTATTTTCTTTCTTCTAGTACTCTATGAATCCATTCTATAAGTTAAACACACCTATTAAGTCTATTGGCTTTGAAAAAAAGGCCCAATTGTATGGTAGAAAATATTTATCATCATAAGCTGATTTATTTCAATTTTGTGAAGTGTTAATAATAAAGCATATTAATGTTGTTATATTGTATACTAATTTTATTCTTATAATTCCACTAAACATTCTAGTTTTGTTACGAATAATACATTATATATAGCTTTATATGAAATTATTATTATTAGTATTATATTAAAATTAATATGCTTTGACATAATTACTTTATGAGTAGTATGATACCTAATGTATTATATAGTATTTCCTGTTTCTATAATTTATATCTTTGCATTGCCAATTTTTTAATCGCAATTTGAACATAATTATTTATTTTACCGTATATACTACTTTATTATAGTGATTTACAAATTAATCATTAAAATATTTAAGCATGTTCTAATTGTGTAAGAAAAAAACTATCAAATAAACATTCTTTGATGTCATATGAAGAATTTATAAACAGTAAGCTTTGAGGATAATTTGTATAAAGTTATTTTATATTTTATTTTGATTTTAATTACGATTTAGTATTTGAATTTTGATGACGTCAAGAGGCAAATTACAAATATTAACCTTGACTACACCTCGTCTATGTTTATGCCCTTATACTGTCACAGAGATCATCTCGTGTGTAACGAATTGCACTTATAGGTATTTTTTCATTGATTATTATATTTATGGGTTAATATATTACTCTTTATTTGAAAAATTAAGTATAGGGCATTTTTTATACAAGACCCCAATGTAAAGAAAAGCAAATTATCATGGTTTTGGAAGTTTCAGATAAAAAATTTTTATTTGAAACGCGTGTAAGCTTTCGTTATTTAATTTTATAAAAGAGACTTTGCTATCAGTTTATTTGTTCTCAGGTACAGGAATTATACAATTATTTCAACAAATCGACATGGATATATTTCATGCTGGTTACATTATAATTTATTAGGAAAGTCAAATGCATAGGAAATCAGCTTCCAATGTCTAAAATTGTTTCCACTTTATTGCCTTTGGCATGGCACGCTTTACACATTCATACTGTAAATTAAGTTATGTAACTCTTGCGATCCAGATGTACTTACACACTTCATATAAATTGTTCTTGTACAACGTATCAATTAATTTATGTACATATTAAACTACTAATAAGGCGGAGGTTGATGCTGATAATGTTGCGGTGGTTGGCTTAAGTGCCGTTGCAAATGCGTCACTATTTGAGGAGTCGGCTGTTGTCCACCAGCATTGCCTTGTTGTTGCTGTTGTTGCTGAGCTTGTTGTTGTTGCTGTGCTTGCTGTTGTTGTTGTTGCATTGCAAGCATTTGTTGTCTCATACGTTGTTGATTGATTGCTTGCTGCTGTAATTAAGAAAATTACAGTTGTATTTGACATTGTTTTTATTCGCTAAAAATATACACTATCTTACCTGTTGGAATTGTTGATTTTGTTGTAAACCAACATTAGCAGTTCCGACTCCAGTCACTCCAACAGCACCAGGTTTTCCACTGGCTTGTCTATATGGCGGAGCTGGTTGATTTTGAACTCCACCTCCCATCGGACCCATCGTATTCATTGTAACATTTGGAGCCTATTCAGTACAAAAAAGAATTTCATATTTATTCGGTTATCATTCCCTTATAGCTACTGTAGTATATTTTTTGCTATTCAAAAAATACCTGAAGATAAGGTGGCCTAGCAGTTCCGGGCTGCATACGCTGCTGTGGCATGTATTCCTGTCCTCGTTGTGTCATCATCTGTTGTTGATTGGAAAACATCATGTTCTGCTGTTGGTTCATTAAACCTTGTTGCTGTTGTTGTAATAGTTGCTGCTGCTGTTGCGCTTGTTGAGGTGCCTGTTGCTGTTGTTGCTGCGGTTGTTGTTGTGGTATCATTTGTTGTCCTCCATATCCTGCATAATTTTGGTTCATTCCTGTTAAGAAAAATATAGTAAATGCAAGTAACACCCAGCTACTAATTACTTACGATTATAAATAGTACTTCATATCGATATTATAATTGTTACCTTGTTGTATTCCGGTGTAAATTCCTTGTTGCTGTGGTTGTTGTTGCTGTTGTTGCTGTGAAGCAAACATTCCTTGTTGTGGATTCATATTAGGGGCTCCATGTTGAGCTCTTAATTGTTGCCTAATGAACTGTTGTCTTTGCATTCCTTGGAAGGCTCCAGGTCCACCAACAGGTGTAGCATTCGGTTGCTGTTGGGAGCTCATCAGTTGATTGGACGGTAATCGTAAACGTAACATGTGAGAAAGCGCTTGTTTAGACTGATTGTTCATGCCTGGTCTATCGTATCTTTGTCCAACTGGAGTTGGTGGTAACTGTTGTCCATATCCATATTGTTGGGCTGGTGTATGAGTTTGCTGATTCGCATACCACTGTTGCTGATGTTGTGGTGGTTGACCAGTAAACATTCCTGGTTGTTGGGTGACAGGTACTTGTTGATTTCCAAACGCCATCTGTTGAAGTTGGTTTGGTGCTTGCTGTATAACACATACAAGATATTAACAAAAATAAAGGCATAACAGTTTTTTCAGTATTTTTAATACTTTCAAGACTAATTTAAAAAGGAGAATAATTTAGAACGAGTTTTTTTTTCATTATAACACCATATGTTGACCTACGACCTTGATTTTTCTTTACAGCTTCGTTGACATTATTATATTACTATATCAGAGTAGAGATTTTAAGGTTTATTAAAAACATAAGAAATAAATACAAATAAGAAACAAAAAAAGAGTAAAGTATAACAATTATGTGCAAAAGGAGGTTAAAGAGGCACGGTTCTCGCTTAGCAAATCGTTTTCTCAGTCGCTCTATTACTACTACTCGCGATTCCGTACTATATAGGTAAACAATATTATTTATAAAGGAAGCCACACATACAATCTCTCATGCACTTATTCAGGGATCATCAAATTTACGCTCTTTCCTCTCTCACTTTCTCATGCATATACTGAGGGGTCATCACACTTCACATTCGCACTCTGGATCATTGCCTGTAAAAACGCGCGTTCTCTGTTTTTGAGGAAGACCGATTGTGCCTAATGGCTCGGCTTCCTACATCAGTATTATAAACATAATTAAATTATTGAAATTTAAACAAACCTGAATTTGTTGTGATACTGGTGCAGTTGGTGTAGCTGCTCCTTTACTCCTTCTGTGTCTTCTGGCTTTCATAGCTTTTCCTTTACCATTGGTAACAGCACTACCAATTCCGCTACTACTAACAGTGCCTTGTACTCTTCCAGGAGAATCAATGCTCATAGGAGTATCAGCTTTCCCAGGTTCGGATTCCTTCTTGTCTGGTTCCAAATCTTCTGGAGGTAATGGCGGTGGATCCAAATAGTGGCTAGGTGTTCTAATTTGACTGTGAGTATGATATCGTAACAGTTTGTGGGCATTCTGATACGTTAGGGGTTTACGTTCTAGTTTCACCGCTCTGAACCAAGCCCAAGATATGGGTGCTGGATTTTTGTGACCTTCTAGTACCTCCCATGCTGATACTCTTTGCGAATCACATACTTGCAAACCCTAGTAAATTGTAGAGGTTACAAGAAACATTCTACTTATAAATATTTAAATTTTGTTCAATCTTATTTGAACATACCTGTTTTTTATCGATGCTATCGAAACCAGCTATCTTGTTTCCCTTCGTGTCCGTTAAACAACCAACCGGTTCACAGGTAATAACTTCCATCGTTAGTTTTGGCAGCGGTAACAATTGCCTGACATATCGAATACTCTGAGAATTTCTGTCGCCTAGTTCCTTCTTCAACTTCTTCATCAGATTTTGATAATGCTTCTTATTCTCATCTTTTTCGGATTGCGAATCCGAGACAAGGGTAGAATGTATCAGAGTTGCCAACATATCTATGACAGTTGTAAATAATTCGGAATTATTACTTAAGTCTATAACACCGTAGCTAACCAATTGGACCAAAAGGATAGCCCAGTCTGTAGTAACAGTAGTGTTTCTTTGAATGGTATCGAAAACGCCACCAACGAGACTGAACCTTAACTGAAGCGCATCCTGTAACACCTCTCTCGTTTTTGGATCTTCAGTAGCGAAATTTTTCTCTTCTTTACTGATATTTAAGAATTGCGATAGTTGTGAGTGCAATGACATCAACAGTCCTTCTCTTTGATCATCTTGACCTTTCAAACAAGTAAGAACAAGTGAGAGAAATGGCTGGTGATTGAAAAGAGACGGCGATTTTGATCTACCCCTCTCACGACCGGCTGCTGTTTTCGACCAATTGCCGGATTCCAACACTTGACCAGCTACTTTAAGAACTCTGCCTTGTACAGCACTGGGTAATTTTGAAACCAGTGGAGCAACTAACCATATGGAGCCAGACCGTTTATCTGGTTTATTAGACACGGTGTTCAATTGAAACACGTCGATTGCAGCTTTAGCAACTGTATCCAGCCACTGAGAAAGATCGCTGGATCCTGGAGGAAATTGTTTGTACATGAGCTGCAGATCGAGCCAGGACATTCGCAGACTCCACTGTTCCAAATTTTCTAGAATGTTCGTGATATGAGTCTTCTGATCGATAAATGCATCATTGGAAGTTTCTGGGTAACAGATCATGTGGAGCAAACTCTGAGCTTGACGAGGAGTCAACATATTGTCGAGTAACATGTCTGGATGACAAAGCTCTTCAGGATTCTGCAAACATCTCTCTAAGACCCATTCCTGGCTACAAATTTGCCTTAGCACATGCTGTGCAAAATCTGACAGTCCTTTAACGTTTTCTGAAGTCATGCCAGCACTGCTGCTAGATGATGACATAGCTAAATCGAGTCCTAAGTCATCACCACCGCCTAGAATATCGCTAGTACCGAGGATATGACTAATCGATAATTCACTTGGTCCACCTGTGCTAACACCAACACCAACTCCCACGCTAGCCGGTCCACCAGCTTTGCTCGAATGATTCATCGGCACGTCTGGCTTCTTTGGAGGTTGTTTGCCAGCAGTAGCGTCGGCAACAACCAATATAGCTTTAAGTACAGCTAAGACGGGGCCAACCCTAATGTTGTTGTGAGCAGCTGCTAACAAGTGCCTATCACAACTTAATTTTATACTGTAACCTCTGGAGTTTCCATTGGGTAGAGGATGAGGACTGGTGCTCACGGAGTACAAAGCTGGCTGAGGACATTCGACTGTTTTGAAAAGTCGCAGAAGCAAGTGACATGTCAAACGTGCTCCGGCTTCTGCCTCTATGTCTGCATCTCCACGGCCCTCGTTACAAGCTTTAACTAAGGATGGCAGTGCTATATGAACGACAAAATCCTCTAAGGAAAAACAATGTCTCGCTGGAAAAATAAGACTTAATGTTAAAGTAGAAGTACATATTTACCTTACTATAAAGAAAGAATGTAAAAATATTTACCAATTAAAATTGATGTGAATACAGCGAGTGAATTATGTATGCTTAAATCTTGTACATCAACTTGGTTCAAAACATCTATGTAAAAAGCAGAGCTATTCGACGAACAACAAAGCGCCATGAGAACTCCAAGCCACTCAGCATTGAGCGCGTTACAACATGCTGTCAGTTCTGCACAAGTTATTGCGATATCGTTCAGTTTATCGTTGTCTGTTTCGCTGCACACTGCAACAATCGCATTGCAAACGAAACTATAACGATTAGCCGGCGTTTCATTTAATTGTCTAGCCCATTGCGGTTCGATCTTCCCGCCGCGCTTTGGGCTAGTAAACACATCTACCATAAATTGAGAATTATAAACGTGACTTGAAGTCGTCGGTTGCAATGTGCTGTAAAGAGCAGTTCGGATCTTGGGATAGGCATTACTGAATGCTTCCACTCCGTGTGGTTTGGTTTTCAATAACGAACAAGACGAATACAAATCGTAGAGATGTGCTAGTACGCATCTCTCAGCAGAACTACAATCGCTAGGATTGGATACATGCTTTACAATTTTACACAGTAAATCGAATACAGCAGTTGTCTGTTCCGGAGACACTGAAATAATGAAACAATTACAACATTGTTTCGATATGCCAAGTTTAATGATAATCAACAAAAAATAAAATTAAAGGGATACTTACACAACAAACAGCAATGATATCTTCTTAATACACCTACCACATATAAACTCAAACTTGTGGTATAACTTCTAACCAGTTGACTATTTCTAACAGTTAACTGCGTCTCAACCTCTGGGAGCTCTTTTAGAATTTGAATACAAACATCTATTAAACCATATATATTTAAAGCTAGCTCCATTAGATCAAAGAGGAAAGCTACATGCTCTTGCACTGGCAAGTAAGACGATCCAGCTAGGGCAAACGTATTTAACATTTCAATCACTTGAGTCGCGCACTGCCACGTTACCACATGTTGATCAAAGTAACTTAAGTTCTGGAATTTTAGAGTGATCGCTTCAAAGTTAAATTCGCTACGGGAATGTTTTTTCACTTTTCCACCTTCTGCGACATCGATGCTGAATTTTTTGCCAAACAGTTTGCACACTTCCTTTGTCATCTTCTTGACAACATGTCTAGCGTCATCCCTAACTCTACCTACTCCGTAAAGTAGTACATGTCGTTGATTGCAATCGTGTTGACTGCATGTTTCATCCTTTGACAGATATTCTCACTATTATCATCGAAGTTATATATATATATAATTTTGAAAGAAAAAGAAGTAAAATCATTACCTGCGGTAATGGAAAATGTGTTGTATACAACAAATGTCTACTATGACTGGATGGTATTTTAGAATCCAGTCCTTCTTGAGTACCATGCCCAGCTAATGCATCCTCTTTAGGACTATCAGGAGCATCCATACTGTTTTGTTGATCTTCTTTAATATGTTGCAATATCTTGTCCAAGTCATCATCAATCTTACTATCATCATAATCCATTGTTCTTCCATGATCTGGAACCTCTAACTTTGCTGGCTTTAAGTCTATACCCGGAAACAAACTATCTTCATCGATTGGTTCTCGATTACTAGGAGTTCCAGGCTTGCTTGCTGCGGGACCTAATTAAAGACGTTCGTTACGTTAAACGTTCTATTAAACTAATACCTTTGAACCAAGTAGTTAAAAACTCATTATACCTTGTATAAGATCTCCTCTAGAAATGAGTGTGCACATGTAGGCATCGTGTGAAAACACATCGTGCCTAATTAATTCTGAAAATAAGTGAACCAAATTCGTGAACTGAACTTTTGATTGAGCTGAAGTATTATCTAATACCGGGGCATCCATGTCCAAAAACTTCATAAGCAATGGTTGAAAGATTGGAAGTACAGGTGGATTTCCATTACTACAGACACTGTCTTTATCATCGTTATCATTCGTTTCACCAGTTACTTCACTCTGCCGTTTTTCAAGCAGCTTTGCCACTGCCATTGCTCTATGCTCCCCCCACCGTTCAGCACTAACAGCCCATTCGCATAAAATTTCTACTACAGCAGAATCTTGTTGTGGATTATATTCAGTTTTTGAATCTCGTTCATTGGCATTATCCTTCGGTGGTGACATGAATATTTTAGCATAAAGTGTATCTAATGAATTGGTAGAATCCATTCTATCGAAACTGTGCCTATCCAGAGCATCCAAAGCAGCCAACACTTTCGTAGTCGTTATTCCAGCACTGCTTTGCTGCCATTTGTCGCATGACCATTTACCTTCTGCAGCCTGAGATCTTGCTCGAATGTTTTCTTGGGCAATCTTGAGCTGTTTTAATGTAGGATTTGTTGCACTTGCTGGAGGACATGGTAAAGCTGTGGGAGGACAAGGTAAATAGTCCAAAGGAGAACCATTTAATACAGAAGGAGCTTTCCCTTCTCCAACACTATTCCATACCAATGCTGTTGGACATTCCAATGTGATTACCTAACGAATAAACAATTATTATTAAACTATTTTGTAGTGTATATATTTTTCATGTTAATGATTTGTTTTCTTACGTTAGTAATACCTGTATAATCGTTGACAAGCTATATATCACATCTCTGTGATGTGGACATAACAAGTAATCATTAAAAGCAGCAGTTAATGGATTTGGTATTTGATTAACAGTGGCAGTGTCTTTCCCACCATTAACATCGCTTTTATTTATGGACGGACTTTGAGGATTTCCATTGGTCTCTACATTGTTACACATGTGCGCCAATTTACGACAACATAGATATGCCAAACGTCTGGCTAACAATTCAGACTGCACAAATTCTTCCAAATATTGCAGTGCCAGTGGCAATAAGAGCTTTAAAATACCATCTTCTGATGGAGACGATTTAATTTTATCTAATAATTCTAAAATCCACTGTAGCAATTCCTGCCTATCTAATAAACCTTCCTCAAACATATACTTTGCTAATTGCACACAATAATGCCATTGTTTTAATGCTAACTTATGTTCTTCATTCATGCTACTCCCAGGTGTTGTTTGGTTATTAGAATTTGGCGTAGTCGGTGGATTATTAGCAACTCCATTATTATTAGTAGTAGTATTGTTAACACTGTTATTACTGCTGCTGTTATTGTTGCTACTTCCAGAACCATTACCGTTACAAGAATTATTTGTAATACCATTGTTACTAGTGCTACTTGTTCCATGAATATTTATATAATAATACTCTTGTAGCTTGGAAAGTTGATCCTTTAGAAACTTAATGAGTGTTCCTGTCCATTCTATACAAAGAAAAAGAGTAACAAAAGTTACTAACTATTATTCTTCTAACAATCTAATGTTCTGAAAACATTATTATCATTTTCATACTTCAGATAAAACTTTAAATAATTAAATACTATAGTTATTTACCTGTAGTTGGATCAGGTAATTGTCTCTTCTTTATTTTGGCCTCAGAAACAGCTACTGTGTAAGCTGAACTAAGTTTAATGAACCAAGCTGCTCTAAGCATTGGAACTTGATATTCGCATAGCATCATAAATATCTCTTCCTTTTTATTAAAGTTAGGAGCTTTTTTTGCAAGAGCTATTAGCGGTTTACAACCAGAAAGATCTTTAAACCATGCTTCTATGCCATTTTTTGTTCTTGCAGTTACTGGCCAGAAATTATCTTTTGGATTAATTTGTTGCCTCTTTCTGCCTGTGTCGGGCATCGTAGAAAGTTCTTCCTTCTTTGCAAGAATCCCATTAAAGTATGCTCCCACTTTAGCGGCAGTGACATTACAGTTTCTTGCAGTTCCAAATTCATCGGACAGTTGAAGTATCGTAGAGAATCCATGTTTTACATTTATAGAAGTGAGCTCGTCTTCTTTCTGCTTGGGTTCTTGAGGATATACGTCAGGCGGCCCCAGTTTAGGCCGTTTTAGTGGCCGTTTCTCATACAATATTCCCATCATGGTACAAGGAAATTATCAAAATTGACAGCCGGCTATCGACATTGTCCGCATATATATTTAAATAAATTGGCCGTAACGTTTCGAGTTTATTTCCGTTGTCGTGTAAAAAATGTAACCTTCGATAATGACATATTTACAATTGCTCAACACTGTAAACTGTAACCCAACACTGTCACTACGTATACGAAGGCTTCCAGGTGGCGCGTTACTATTAAAATCATGAACATGAATATATACGGTTGACACATTCATGTAACTATATTTTTAATTATTTCATTTATTTATCTACTTCCACGAAACGTATACGAATCGAACGCGACCTCGGTATCGGAATGTCTTTAGAGCGCATTGTAATATTACTTACTGCATAAGATTTGGAAAATTTAGTGATCTAAAAATGCAATACTCCGTATATCTTTAAGATCGGCAGGTAACATTATTGACTAAATAAATAATTACTTAAAATACACAAACTATAAAAGAATTACCAACTTCATTAGAATAAATATATTGCGTTGAAAATTTCAACTATATAATAGAATGTAGGTAAAAGAGTTCTGCATAATGACAGTCAATGAATTTTCTTGTTACTAGAATTCATGATTAGAATCGCTTGTGAAGTAATACTCTCTGTTTCACTATGACTGCGTGAAAAGCACCGTACACTCTTCCAGACTTCTGATTGGTAGAAAAGCTGATACTATCTCTATTCTATCAATCAGAAGCCTTTAGACTTAGGGATTTAGGCTAGGGACTTTTTATGTAATTGAGGAGGTAGCAACTTAGTTATAGAGCGTTGTTTCGCGAGATTAGTCCCATGACGGCACAAAGGCAGGGGGTGGGGGTCACTCACTAGGGATTTTGTTTATGGTTTTGATTGGTTATGTTTAACCGTATTGACGAATAGCGAATTTTTATCGAAAACGAGATGAAAAAATATGAAAACTGACCAATACGACCTGCATTCCTTTCAGGGCTCTTCTTATGAACAATGCAGAGTAGATCTGGAGAGGGTAACTCTCCCCTCTCGCTGTGAGGGGAAAGACCCTAGGAACCTTGCGAGCTCCCAATCCGACACACCTGATTTATCTAATATCTTTTATCTTAAATCAAATCTTATGTCACATATCTGATATAAATTATCTGAATTGTGATACTTCTCTTTCAATAGATCGTTTCAACGGTGTTTTATAATCCCATATTAATTGTATTTAGTACACAATATTCATAATAGATAACAGGTATATCTACACACAAATAATCTACTGTGTTATTAAAGTATCTTATGCAGTCAACTCTTTAAGTTTTGAGATAGTATTCTCTTATATATTAAAGTTCGCTTGCTTCCTATCTTCAGTTTTTTTAAAAATCAAAATTCCCCAAATGTAACCAGTGTAGAAACCAATTGTTGTATGTATTTTATTACTGAGATTAGTTGGAATGTGTAACCTAGAAATAAAGTAATGTGCAAGAAAATAAGAGTAATATTTATATTATTTTTAAACAATTAATAATTTATACGTAAGATCAAATATTTGTAACACAATTATGATTAAAATAATTAACAGTTTGTCGAATTTTAATGACAAAGTAATTATTAAAGGACTTTGTGATAAAATGTTCTTTTATTTGTTATATTAGGGTAACAAAAATGGAGAGTGGTGAGGTCATTTGTATTTCATCAGATGATGAAGATACAGGACAGGTTTGTGTGATTGTTTTTATGTAGACATTAATAAATTACATATATTGTAAATAATAATTCTTATTTATTTGAAAAGTGTATTTTAATTACTGTTATAGGATAAAACTAATGAAAGACAAATGCCTATTAAACTGTTGGAGAATAATCGTGTTAAACGTGTAAAGCCAGAAATTATTTTACATGAATGTGGAGAAATAGTTACCTGTGAAAAAAAAAGAAAAGCATCTGAGGTGGACAATGATGATAATAGTTCCAGAAGTAATAAAAAAGTGTTACGAGAAGAACGAATTAAAAAACATAGTGTAGAGGAAGATACCAGTGGATTAACAAGTGTGCAAAAACAGAAGGATGAAACTATATTAAAACCAAAATTAGTAGTTAAAGAGAGTAAACCATTTTCTCCTATAGAACAGGATATATTTCCAATGTTTATTAGTTTGTGTTTGCAAAAAGATCGCTCTGAAGATATGAAAGTAATTACTAATAAATTAAAAAGATGTTATGAACAATTGGACTCAAACTATGCTAATTCAGAAGCTTTCATTAGTTTTATAAATGAAAAAAGAAATTACATTATGAATAGTAAAAATAAATTATATTCACATATTGCTGATGTGATGAATGAAATGAAAAAAGGATGTAGAGGAAAATCAACATTATTATTAAATAACAAAAAGTGTACTTCTAGTTCGAATAAATTACAATGTAACAATTCTGATGTACCTAGTTCCAGTGCTCATACGAATAATGTAGATAATGTAAATGTAGATGAAAATAATGTTACTAATGAAGAAGATAAAGCAAAAGATCGTACAATAAACAAAAAGATTAAGCTATTAGAAGCAGCTATGGATAAGTGTCAAAAATACATTAGAAAATGGGAAGAATCAGAGGTAAACTTTGATGATGATGACAACAGTTCGTACATTAAAGTAGAGAAATATAAGCATAGAATGTTGAAGCTTTATAACAAATATTGTCAATACACTGGTGGAGATATTGATGCAGGACGACAGTATCTAAGGCCAAAACACTTGAGTACAACTGGAATCGTAACTTTAGACCATGCTATAACAAACTTTATTAACTCTAAATTATCTAAATTGCATAAAGTAAAAAAAAATGGTACATTCACGGATGCAGTGATTTTTCCAGATTATAAAGATATTCTGGATTGTGTTGAGAGATGTAATAAATTAAGTAATTTAAGATTGGATACGAAACAGCAACAGCGAATGGGTAAATTGATAAAATATGTATTAAAGTATGTAATATAATTTTCAAGTTTTGTTTAGTGCATTTGTATTTTTTTCACAGCTAAAAAGGCGTTTATTAAATTAGGAGAATATTTACAACGTTCTCGTCGAGCTGATTACTGGGATACATTTTCCCTGTTTTTGGAAGATAAGGAAGATGATCCAGCTCTGAAGGATCAAGAGTTAGCTTTGAAATTGTTAGAGAATAAGAGGGAGGGTGAAAAGCGTTTAACTAATGTATTTGAAGAGTATGTGAAAAAACAAGAAAGTAGTAAAAACTGTTTGGTGGCTACTGAGACATCATCAGATGAAGAGGATGAAGAAGAGAGTGTAGAAAATGAGGATGAAGATAATGAGAATGGCAATATTAGTGAAGAGGAATACAGTTTGAGTATAAGCAGGGATAAAAGTAGTTCAGAAACTGAGGAAAAGGAAGAAGAGAAAGAGGAAGATGTCAATATAGGTACAGATGAAGTAACAGTGAAAGAAACAAGCATAAACAATAAAGTTGAAACCAATAATTCCAATGAAAATGAAATAACAGTGAAAGAAACAAGGATAAACAATAAAGTTGAAACCAACAATTCCAATGAAAATGAACTAACAGTGAAAGAAACAAGGATAAACAATAAAGTTGAAACCAACAATTCCAATTCCAATGAAGTAATAGTGAAAGAGACAAGCATAAACAATAAGGTTGATACTAACAATTTAGATATAATAGAAATAGGTGAAGGTTTCCACACGAATGCCAGTGATATGCTAAAAGACTGTGCTGATGATTGTAATTTGAAAACAACGAATTCGAGTAACGTTGTGAACATTCCTGACTGTAAAAACGAGTCTGAGTCACGGATAGAAGAAAATGATGGAACGGTAGTGTCTAAGGTTGGAGTTGATGTACCATCTATGAAAGTAGATGTCCCAATTGATAGAATAAAAGGTTAGTGTTATAAACATCATAATATCAATGAGAAGAACTTACCAAAGAAAATAGAGGAAACAATTAGATTTTGTTATATGTGTATGTTGTAGAGGATGAAGCTAATATTATGACTGAGGATGCGACGGATACTAAATCGTTAGAGGAGGAGAAACCATTACTACGTGTGCGTTCGTTTGCAAGACATCCTATGACTTGGAAAGACGGAACTGATAAAGTTGAGTCAGATGTGGAGAAGAACGTGCCGACTACGTCGATTAACAATAGTATCGTGGATCTTACAGTGGAGACACCAAATGAAAACGACATTGTTATTGACAGTTGCACAAATGTTACAACTGACTCTGAAATGTTTGTTCATGTAAAGAGTAAAAATAAATTAAAAAGAGTTTTCGTAGCAGCGGGTAAAGACATAGTCAAATTAAAAAATATCTCTAAGTGTACTGGTATGTTGAACCCTCGAGTTGTGGGTCCAAATGTTACAATGGAATCTCAGAATGATCAAGTTGTTCCATCTCAGAAAAACGTAGTGACCATATATAAACAACCTGCAATAGTGTCGGTAGTAAGAGATCACAGCAAGCAGTCACCAAATTCTGTTTTAAAACCTCAAGTAAGACACATTAGTCGATATATAAACATTCAACCCAAGAAATCTTAGCAACAAAAATTTCAATAACTCAGCGAGGGATTTGTATGTGTCAAAACAGAAATGTTTGAAATAAACATTCAAAGCGATTCGCTTCGATTCTACGAACAAGAATTATTAACGTACGATAAACTGACTGCATTAAGTATAATTTTTTACAGAATTTGTAATTTATAAACAGTAGTAGATGTATACGTAAAAAATATGTTACACTTAATAAATTTTTCATGAACACCGAAGCTCGATTTCTGTACGATTGATAACATATCTTGATAACGACTTGTTACGTGCTGGATATATTAGTCAGTATTATTTTCGTCAGAACGTCTTCTGGCTTTGTGAGTTTCTCCACGATGTCGAAGTGATCAGTATACTCTCGAAGAAGAAGATATTGGACGTCATCCGCTATCGTTATGAGTTTCTAGAATAAAAGAAGAAGATATGATAACGTTTTTTCATGAAGTGAATAAAGTTAGAAGGTACCAGTAATGGCTCACCTGGGCACACTTGCGTGATTCATTAATAAAATGTGGTGAATCGCATTCTCCGACAGTCACAACAACTTTCAACCCTTTGATGGATTTGATTTTGGAGGTGTCATTAGGAATGCTGTACGCCGCCATTTCATTTCTAAAATGCAACTCTTTAATTTTTATCTAACATAATGTGATTTATCTCAAAGACAATGAAACTTAAATATAAAACATTCATAAAGGTGTAACTTAAGTTTCAAGTATCTAAAGAAATTTACAAAACCATTAACAAATATGTCAAGAACTACTATAAATAATGTGTGCACATAATGTGTGTTTACAAACTCAAACATGTGTTCTGACGAAGAGTATACACTGTTATATTAACTCTGGACATACATACACATTCTTTGTGATGTATTTGATATTCCAAAGTTTGGCAAACTTCAGTAAATACCTTATTAACAAAAATATATTGTAAGAATGAAATTTTAGAAATGTTAAAATGAGAATGAAATACTTAAGCCAAGAAAGTATGACAAAATGTATGTATCTGTTTGAAGATGGTTGAGAACACGTGTACATATGTAAGTGCTTTTTAATAATGATTAACATTTTTTATATGAATTACTTGTGTGGTAAAAAAAATACTTAAAGAGACTTACTTTGTAAGCTTCAAGTCGTCGTTTATACTTGTGTCAATCAAAGCGGTCAAGTCATAAATTCCCGCTATTAAGACAAGACCTTTAAATAATTTCATGTATCTTTCTTTCATCATTTTATCTAGCCAAGACTCATCGAATAAAATATTCACCGCTAAATGAGCACCAGCACTGTGGCCGGCGACCCAAACACACCTAAAAATAATCATTTGTTATTTTTTTTTTATTATATTGAACTTAATTATATTGTTAATGTTTATTTAAATATTGGAGAATTTGTATAATACATTTGTAGTGAAATATTGCGGTATTATCGAAATGACTTTTTATTTATATACTAGAAAGTCGCTTAAATTAATCTCCGTTTAAATACTGAGATTGTTACGCACCTGCTTCCGTTATTCGAGGCTAATTTTAATATCTGTTCAAGCGCCATTTTTATTTCTGATATTATGTCTCCGAGTCTAACTGAAATAGATAATTATATCGGTTCGTAATATTATTAACGATAAGGGTAAAAAGAGAAGGAATGTGAGATTACCATGTGGAATTAAATCGTAGCCAACTGTTATAACTTTGATTCCTTTAGCGACAAAAACTGGTGCTGCAAATGTTGCTATATCTGTGCTACCTTCTATCCAATATCCACCATGGATAAAGACGAATATTGGAGCGTCTGAGATGAATACGAAATTTAATATGAACATCTTTATTTAACTTAAATTTAGAGAATTAAATAAAAAGAGAAGTTAGATCTTATATGCACCTTTGGGTAAATCGGTTCCGTATATGTCATATTTAGTATTATTCGAGTTTCCGTATGGAATATCCAACTCGTATTTAGTGGTCTTACGAGCCTTTTCCGTAACTGTAACAAGTTTTTTAGAAATTAATTTAATACTGGTCTTAAATTCGCCTCTCCGACATAAGATTATCTATCGTCGAAGATGGAAATTATTTTCAGCCATTGAACACTCATTTTATTACCGTTAGGTTGTTATACTTAAAATGGCTGACATTTTAATAACAGTTGACATTATGATCAGTATTAAACGAGTTTTATCAGAACAGTATCAAAAATAACCCACCTGAAAAATTGCTATAAACGGACAATGCATTTTTATGTAAATTTATAAAAGTCAAAAGTAAATAACAATTTATCTTACTATCTATTATTTGACTCCAACGATAATTGTACGTATGCGTTTGATTTGTAGTATTCATAAATATTCATATACATATATGTATATATATATATATACATATATAACGCGTCAATAATAAAATTAATTTAAGACTTACGCGTTAAATTTGTCATACTTCGATATTCCTGATGAAATGGGCCAAATTTAATATGTTAAAATTAACCAATCCAATTTAATAAAAAATTTAATTAATCAATAAAATAGTGCCTTGAAAGCAGCAGAGCGTCTCATTTCATTCAGAAATTTTTACACGAGATCTGTTATCCGTTTTTTTTATATATTACCGTTTGAATCAATCTACTCATCGCTATATCATCATGTCTGCCGTTTACCTTCTGAAGCGAATTTGTGGTAGTGCTTCAATACCTCCTCATGATCGAACCTTTTACTCCATTTGCTTGGTACAAGCAACACATCCATCTCCTGCACAAAACCCTTCGAATTATCTTTAAATTTCTCAAAATGGCGAATAATTAAATCAACAGGGTGTATATGTAGGTACGCACATTAAGATTATCTGTCGACATTGTTGACCGTTGATAATAATTTTTGCGTTATTAATATCGTGATGATACTTTTGTTGGAGGTATGTATCTGTCTACGTCAAACGATATCCGTCAAATGCTATCAATTCAACTTCAAATGTTTGATAAAGGTTGCAATTTGGATATAACTTTGAAGATCCTTCGTTGGGATTCCACCTGGAAAGTTAAAGTAATATTAATGAAAAATCGGTTCTTTATTTTCCTTATATTTAGTTCTAGTACATCGCGCAGTTAAACATTCTGACATTCACAAGAGTTTCCTAGCTAAATCGAGCCACTGTTACATACTTACCATCGAGGAGCACAAATGACTAAGCTCATGAGCTCTCAATGTCCACCACCGCAGTCACACTTGCTCTTTTTTTTTAGAAACAAGTGTATAGTATATCTTCTACTTATTGGTGGGCTGAAATAATTTACAGACTAAGTAAGTACGGACAAATCTGCCGTTCGCAAGTTTATAATTTTCTTCGTCAAGAGACATATTAGCTCGTTCCGCGTATTGTAAACTCTTCAATTTCAGTGTTGGGAGTATTATTGATTTGATTCTTATGAGCGTGAAGTTCTGACTGAATATAGAAAACTTGTTTTAATGAAATTCAAATGTATACACAATTGCCTTTAAAATGGCGTTTGTTAGACTAATGACATCAACTTTTCATCATATCATAGTGATTTAAAGTAGACGATAGAATTTCATGATTTATCTGGTTTGGTTATTTTTTCTGAAACATGGAACTTTTATATCAAACATGTAAGTAAATCTAACGAATTTTTGAATTTCATCTTCATTTGATTTTGATCGACAAAAGCATTTTACAAACCGATAACACGTTAATTGAAACAAGTTTTGTTAAGATAATATACGCGCCACTGAAAATTAACCCCTTAAGGACCATGCTCGTAGATACATGGTTTCAGTGTTCTGTCTGGTTTTCTGTATTCCGCGCTAATTCTTTGCATTTAAGAGGCGACTCTCGGTCACCACACAATGGAATATAACAAAATGATAAAGATTGACATTTAATATTAAGCTTTGCATAACGCATCAATGTGTGAAGTATTAAAACAAAATACCTGTATTCTTTAATTTACTCAATTTAGTTTTCCTTAATTTAATTTTTTTTAAATCTTGCCTATTTACTCAATTTAGTTTCCCTTAATTTAATTTTTTTAAATCTTGCCTAATGTTATTAGTAAAAGTCGATATAGCATTATAGATTTTCAGAGTTAAAAATATTTTCATCGTATTCGCAATAACAGAATTAACCAGAGTCCACAAAAGAAGTTAATAATTAAGTGTCCCCCAGAGTACAATTTAGCTCAAATATCTTTTACGGAACGAAATAAACTTAGGCGCAAGATTTTAAATGTTCTAATTGTGGTCAACTTTCGAATAACACAACACTTAAGTTATACAAAGTCTCGAATAGCACAGTATTTATATTGCACGGTTTCTTTAAAGTTTACAAACACATGTTCATTCGTAACAGCGGATTGGAGGAAAGACACTCGTGGTAGGGGGTTAGTTTAACATGAGAAATTAAGTGCTCGTACTGCTTATATTTATTTGTTCTATAAATATATAAAATATTTCAAATAGTTTTTCAAAGTTGATAAGAAATAATATGTAGTTCATATATTGTATCATGGATAAAAAGTTACAAATTTTGACTGTACTTCTGAATGGCGTCGATGATTGATCGAGTTGAAAATTAGAGAGGTTGGAGGTATGGGTAGGGTGTGCCCTAGATATAAAATTAATAGAAAACTGCGCACAACATATTGAATTTTACCTATACAGACATAGCTAAACAACACTCTTTATAGTAGGAATCGTTGTTACCAACTGTCAAGTAACTGATGCTATAACGAAAACTTTGGTTTTAGTATCTATAGAGTGTCTTAAATCAAATTAGTTTCTTGCAATGTGTATGTAGAAATTAGTTTCATTTAGATTAGAGATGTCGATCTGTATTCCCTCATGCTAGTGACTCAGATCAACATTCTCCTACTACCTCTAGTCTAGGAGCTTGCTAAGATTGTGTATTGCTATGAGATCACTTGATTAGTTGCCCCGTACTATATTATATCGCAAGGTTTGATAGGTACTATCTTATTACTAGTTTTTTAATAAATCCATTGATGCAGTTGCAAAGTGCAATTACACTTTTTTATAAATAAAACTATGCTTTTTTACGTGAACCGTTTTGTTTATTCTGTAATTGGAAATTATTCAACATTTTTCAAGGTATTTTACTTTGAATATTCATTGAAAGCACGCTGTTAGCAGATAAGATAATAGGCTGGTGATTGAAACAATTTATGCAAAAAGACTTGGAGTTCATTATAAAAACAATGCAATTATATTTTGCAACTGCATCAATGCATTTATGGAAAAAACGGGTATTGTAATACGATAGAAGACCCAGTTGTACAAGATACAGCCTGTAAAGAATTTAATGTAACGCAACGAAAGTTTCTATATATATATTCGTGGATATCGAGGATTACTTACATTTTGACAAATCTAATCCAGCAAACTTTTAACCGTGAGAATTTCTAAATCTAAAAATAAAACTTTTAGAGTAAAATTATTAAAGTTAAAAAACTTATTCTCAGATTCCGTTTCATTCGTATTTTCATTCATTCATTCATACGTATAACGTATTTTTTATTTCAAAACATTTGAGGGATACAACGTGTTACAGGGTGAACGTGAAACACCCTGTATAGTTTAATAATTCGTACGAATAATATAATTTCATTATTATTCAATGTACATTCAAATGAATACTAGTTACGTGTGCACATGATCACGTAGAACGTATTCACTGTGACCAGTATATACTCTTCATATTATCAACAGATAAAACGGAGTTTTGCCGTTACAGATATTACGTAACCATGATTATGTAAAGCTATACAACCGTTAATGATGCGTTACCCGTTGGACGTTTCTGTAAACAATTAACTGTGTTCGTGGAATGGATTCCCTGACCCATTAACATGTTACCTTCACTCGTGAATCAAAGATAAGAACATTGAATTCGGTCATTTAAGTATACGAAATTTTAGATATCTTGTCGACATTCGATAAAATTTTGATCATTTTATGCACCACATTTAACCCCTTGCTTGATAACATTGTGTCAGACCCACGATGAAGATTTCAAATAGAATACATCAGACGTAAACATAACTTAATTCTTTTGAATTTGAAATAAGTATCATGTTTCTATTGTCAACTGTTATACTTTAGAGTAAACAAAGACAGAATATGCTTAGCATTTTTCTGTCCCTTTCAATAAATTATTAATGACACAGTAGTTGTATCGATCATAGTTGAGAAAGAAATCATAAGGTAAGGAGTTAACATATCGACAATCTCTGATCTATATTTTCTGATCTATTGAATCGCATCTTTCATCAGGAGACATTCTATCATTTTTTTATTGATAACTAAGTGAAAAATTCTGATCTTTTCTGGCTACATAAACTACAGCTTTATATTTATACTTTCTTCTACGACAAAATGTTACTAAATAGAGGAGTTATTTGATAGTTCCGGAACTTCTTTTCGTAAAACATCCGTTGCTAACGGACACCACCGGCCGGTAAAGTGTTAAGCAAGAATTTATTCAAGCGTTACCTTCAGTCAGTTATTTGAGAACAGCACATCAGTTCTTCTAGTTCTGAAAAATCATCTGCAATCGTTTTTTCTTTTTCTGTAAGTAATTTTCAAGTCTCTTTCTTTATCTTCATCCGCTTTAGCAGCAGCGTTTGCAAGCGATACTTTAAATCTCGCTTGTCCGTATATATTGCGACAATTTTTTCGGACACTTGAATTTTGAAAAATTCGTTTGCCAAAATGTTTTACATATATACATGATTCTTTAAGAAAATACTTAACAGCTTCGCGATCAACGTTGTATATTTGTCACGTTCAACATTTTATATTCTTTATAAAGTAAATTGCGTTACGAGAGGACGTTTTGCCCTCTTGTAATTTATTGGAAAAAGAATAAGATTCTACGCGCCTATTATGTCTGGGTTTATTCTAAAGTAACATAATTGTATTAAGTAACATTTATATTTGTTAAATTCTATGTCAGATCTTCGTTACGAGTTGGACACGACATTGTAAGGCAAAGGGTCAAAAGAACAAAAGCATGTTGTCCACTACATTAGTCACGATGTATAGACAAATGTTTGCGTTTACGAAAATGCATCGTGCGAAACGAACACGTGCATCCGCCTGCATATAGGAAAAGAAACGAATGCAATGTAAATCGCAAAACGCAGCGGCGTGACGCGTCTAAGAAAACGCACTTCTTTACCCAGGGAAATAATCATCGCAAAACGTGGACCAAAAAAAAGGACGATTCGATGCGATCTCGCCGGTGAACGGATTAAATCGAAATTACCGGCGCACGAGGCAGACGTGCGAGGATAAATGGTCATTAGTCGACATAATTTCACCGGGGAAGCTGAATGGACGTCGAAGAGAAAGTTTTACAAATTGAATTCGTATAGACCCGTCTCTCCATTTACGTGGGTTCGTTTTACGCGAATGAAAATCGCGTAAATAGAGTCCGCCGGTACAAAAAGAAAAGAAAATATTGGCAAGGAAAGCTAGTACAAGTTTTAGAAATACATATTTATTTCGCATACATAGCTTAACACTAGAACTACCGAGAATTTATTGGGATTGATACGTAGTCTTTATAAAAATTGTAGCAATACATATTTTTTTTATTTCTTCTGATATTTTCTTATTTAGGGGAAACTATATATTTTCAAAATCATTTAGGATATTGAGTGCTTTTGGAATATACAAGTTTTTTTTTATTTCATTTTGAATACATCATTAATATTTCTTGTTCAAAGTAGACGTTTGTTTCTTTCTACGTAGGATTGAAAGTATTTCTATTTGCAATGGAAACTTCCAAAACTATATTGAATAATAAACAAATAAGTCGAATATAATTGATATAAATTGAAATGAGCAAAATGGCCCGTATACAATATATGAACAAAAAGATAATGATGACATTGCAAAACACGAAGATAAAGATACGCTGTCACTGAAATGCAAATCGCGTAAATCGGTGTCGCGTATGAACAGTACCGCACAAGTAGTGTTATAAAATTCCGGGTAAAAAGGAAACTCGCGTGAAAAAAGTGCCGCGCAAATGGAGGGACGGGTGTGTTACATGTAAAATCGAACAAGGTAAAGTTAAGCTCGGTGCGTGGCGCAAAGGGTGAAATATATCTGTTGAAAATATACACAGGCTATTGCGCGTCCACGGAGAAGGTAGCGAGAATAGGCTACAAGGGTCGGAGAGATTGAAAACCAGAAAAACCGGTCCCTTCCTTTTGGCCCCACTCTTCCGTAACGCTCGCCATTCTCTATGGAGAAGTCACAGGTAGGCCCCCGTAGCAGCTGATGTATCGAGTATCGTGCCACGTCGACGCCTACCCGCAGACCACAGGTAAGAGGAACCTTTCCCAGTCAAAAATACATCGGTTCAAGGGAGATTTTTTCCACAGGGTTGAGCAATGCAGAGTAAAACTCACACTGAGGAACCAACCATGCCGGTGTTCATCGTAATCAACGATCAGTTATGCGAGGAATTGGTATAATCCTTGCTCCGCGAATAAGGTCCATCCAGACCGGTGACTTTTATCCAGTTAACTGCGTTTGACGAGTATACACGTCATCTTAAAGCTTGAAATGATACTAATTCTATCAGCGATGAATTCTTTATTTTTTCAGATAAACATGTAATTCTTCTTTGTTTTGCTTTGGTTTTTCATTCAAATATACCGTAGATGCATTAGTCCTATGTTTGACGAATACACACTTAATTTTTTGATTTTATGGCGCGCAAAACGAGAGATTTTTTAAACTAAATTCCACAGTTAACAGGTTATATCACTAATCGTATTATGGTTGTAGGATACAAAGATGAGCACGTTTGAAATATGGAATGATTATACAATAGAACCCCTTATGACGCGAGTAAAATATTTTTGCGTTATAGGGTTTCACGTTTACAAATTTCGCGTGAAATTCTCCTTTTGGATATTAATCCAGTTTGTATTAAGTTGGTCATCTGTTTGTATCAGTTTCTTATGGGAGACCTCACTTTTATAGTTATTTTTCGGTGATTTTTTAATCGCGTTATAGGGTGTTCTACTGTACAGTTAAAGGACTTCGTCGGACGCATTTTAGAAGCGAAGAGTATGCGCACTTGGACTTTGTCAGATAGCCGTGAGTTTTTATGCAAATTCGTATTTTAGATAATGTGATCCTGAAAATTAATAT